AGGGGGGGGGGGGGGAGTAATTACGCACAGATAAACTTGCATTTTATTACAGTGGGCGAGTGTGCGCGCCTGTGTTTGTCTAAAAAGAAAAAGAAAATGCTAATTTCAATTATGAAAAAAAAGTTAATTGAATACTGTATTATTTTACAGTGACAGGGGGGAAAGCAGACTTTAAAGCATGATTATATTCGTTTACTAAACCTTATATCTGTTTTTATAAAACCAAGGAATACAAAAATAGAAACACAGGATCCATTCACTCCAGGACTCATGAGTCGTTCGTCTCTTTCAGTTTCACTCTTTCATTCAATTCCCGTGTTCTCTCCCGCGGCTCATCCCCGTCCGCATGACTTTCATACCCCACCCCATCCCTCCAGGCACACACAAAGAAAATCTCACTTGTTCCCTGCGAACCATGGACAATAATATAGGCAAAACACCGCCTGTGCTGCATTCCTTTTGTTCATGAGCTGTGGACCAGGCCAGGGGTGATCGGTGTCGTCGTCTTGTAGTTGCTGTCGCCTGTGGATACACTCGCACATTCTTCCTTTCACCCGCTTTCACTCACACTGTCTCTCCATCCACAGTTCAGCTCGTCATACGTTCAAAAGTTGCCCACTAGTTATGTTTAGTTAGTGTGTGTACATGTGCATGATGGTGGTGGGTGTGTGGTGGGTGTTACTACTGAAGGTTGTCTGTAGGCGGGCTTGCCATGCGGTACGTGTTCCTTCCCAGACCAGGGGCAGAATGAAAGTTGGCGCCGAACTCTCGCAATAAATAGGCAAAAAATCACGAGACCGGAAGCCGGAAACCGTTCGGAGAAATAAAGGGGGGGGGGGAGTAATTACGCACAGATAATTTTTATTTTAAAAATCAAGTTGATTAAAATAAAAAGAATCAACTGATTTAAATCAACCCAGCTCTGATTTCAATTATGGAGAAAAAAAAGTAAATTGAATACTGTATTATTTTACAGTGAAAGGGGGGAAAGCAGACTTTTAAAGCATGATTATATTAATCTACTAAACCTTATTTCTGTTTTATGAAACCAAGGAAAGGAATTCTGAATGTTGAAATATGTAAAAACTGAATTAAAATAAATTTAAAAAAAAAATGATTTAAATCATTGATTTTTATTTTAAAAATCAAGTTGATTTAAATTTAAAAAATCAACTATCACCCCAACCCTAAGTGAACTTCCTTTTTTTTTTAATGGGAGGGGGGGTTGGTAGGCCTAGATTCTAAGTGTTTTGTGGGGCTCAAAACTGCATAAGGTCACATGAGCGCGCGGGACATGTTAAACTTTTTCAGTTGGTAGAAAATTTTGAATTTTGCCCAGGTGGCGGCCGAAGCCTACTTTTATTGATTTTAGACCCTCAGGGGATCTTTAACGTGCGTAGCTTGCACCCGGGCCCTCCGAGATTGTTCACCCTTGTCCGAGAAGGCTAGGTGTATTGATTTTTTACTACAAGACAAGAAAATCAGTAGTGTGGCTGAAAGACAGCAGTAAAAAGGAGCCGAGGAGTAGCAGTAGAAAGGCTGCAGAAAGAGCCAGAAGCCCAAGGGAGGGAACACAGGAAGTGAAAGGGTGGGGGCAGAAAGTGGAGACGACAGCAGACGATAATACATTGCTAGAGAGAAGGAAAGGAGGTGAAAGGAGACAATTTTAGAGAAGAAAATTTTTCCGTCACTACCTAGATTCGAACCCGGGACCTTTGAATGAGAGGCCAACACCTTGACCTCAAGGTCCCGAGAGCCACTAGGGTCAGCTTTATTAGAACCGGAACAGATAGCATCAAATAACGGCGATCATAGTTCTCCATTCGTCTCAGATAGTCATTTTTTCTTTCTATCCCTTGAGGTGGCGGGGCGGTTTGTGCACTCGTCTCCGAAGCGGAGAGTCCGGGTTCGAACCTCGATTTTTTTTTCGCCCCTTCCTGCCCACCCAGCAGTAATGGGTACATATACCTGACTTCGAGTTATGGAAGTAAAGACGGCGTGGAAAGGAATTGGCAACGCTATCACAATATTATGCGGAAATCCCTGGAAGTTGTCTTACTAACAAGGCAATCCCCAATCAATGTCCGGATCGGATGCGGGAACAACCTTACTTTACCTTACCCCCTG